CTTTCCCTCTTTCTTTCTCTCTTTCTCAAGATAAATATGAAAATACACACCCTTGCCTTAGATTCCAGCTGGCACGGGTTAATGCTATTACCTCTTTAGTAGCTCTTTACCTTTATCAATTACCGTACACACGTACTTACACACACTGTTCTTTTTAATTAAAATGCTATCTTGCAGTTTTTCTTTTTTTTTTTTTTGGAGGGGGGATCTGAAATTATATATTCTTGATAAAAGATACCTTTTATTTTGTATATCGGACTTTTCGAGATTTTCTATAGATCTGTTACGAGATCTATTCAAATGAAATTTCTAATAGTCTAAAATTTGTTATATTAAATTCGTAAGATTTTTCGAAAAATTTTTGAATTGAAATCGAACATTTACATTTTGATTGAGAAGGACAGTACATACATATTTTTTCTCTCTCCTCTATTATATACATATAAAGTCTCTCTGTTTCTATCTATACTATCTACGATTTAGCTTCTTCCTGTTTCTTTTACACCTGGGACGAATCCGTAGTATCAACTACCCATGTTTACTCCGTGTACGTATACCAAGATCGTATTGTAATAACGCTGGTTGCACCGTGTGACATTATCGTATTGAAATATACCTATATAGATATGGTGTTGTTTTGCCTCCTGATAAGCGTGTCACGCCCCCTCCTTTTTACCCTCTTCGACTCAACCCCCTTTCTCTTTCTCTCTCTCTTTCTCTATATATATTCTATTTCTTTCTTTCTCTCTCTTTCTTACATCACAGATTCAAAATTTAATACAAAATCGTATATATGTTCTATTTGAATATTACTCAAACGTTCTAATCTCACTATTCGAAAACATATTTGGAAATTACATTTTAAAAACATTTACAAATGTTGTTACACTGGGATTACACTGTAGATGATCACATGTAAACGTGGAGAACGTTGAAAGTACAGAGCATCATAGATAAATATTAAGAATAATTGTACGAGTTTAATATTTATAATGCTATTATTAAAATTTATTCCTTTTATATTAATTTCTTCGCCCAAGTTTTTATCTTCAATAAACACAAAGGGAAAAGAATTCAAGTTATAAGATACGATTCCTTATTATAATATAATTTTATCTGTATAACACTTTCAACCCTTCAATGTTAAAGCTGAAAAAGAGAAGAACAATCGTATAATAACGTATTTAAATCAAACATGTTTTAATTTTTATTATTAAATCGCGAAAACTTACTTGTCAAAGTTTACATATACAAATATTTATATTACTCATACACCGTATGACTCTAATTTATTTTTTTTTTTTTTTCTTTTCCCTCGTAATCACACCACCGCAATCGATCTCTCACGCAAGTTGCAATGTCTTTTATAACCCTGTATAACCGGTTATATACGAGAGAGAGACTTGAAACATCCTCTTGTCGGATGGACACGTTCGCTGAAAACAGGCTGGGACAGACTAACGAACGACCCACTTCTATCGATAGCTACTGTATCAACAGTAGGGACATTCACACACAAACACACGTTGTATACACGAGAGGCACGATCTTGTGCTAATTTTCCTGTTATTCGGCCAGACCCCAGATACAATCGTATCGTTTCTGCCAAGAAAACTTTCGTTGCCAGTCTGTTGACTGAATTTATTTTTTTTTCCTCTGAAACGAAAAAATAACATTGATTACAAAATCGAATAATTTTTCCTTAATAAAATAACAGAGAAATATTTGTTAAAAATATAATCCAAAATGTATATTTTAAAATTAGAATTCGAAGAAAATTTTGATCCTAGTACAGTTTTACAATTTTTCTTTTTGAAAAAAAAAAAAAAATGTCTACGATCTTTGTTTGATAAAAATCATGGATAGAAAAATTTCTCAGAAAACTAGATTAACTAACGAAAAAAAATTCAATTGTCGAGAAATAATCCATTTTTGAATTAAATACAAAGTTTCACTGGCAATGAAAGGCTTTTGAACAAACGAAAGATCGTTAAGCGTGACTTCTCTTTCTCTCCCTCTCTTTCTTTCTCTTTCTCTCTCTCTCTATCTTTGTACTCTCCCTCACACAAATCCAAGCATCCACGTGTGCCTCCCGGTTTACTAATTTAGGGAATCTATTTGCAGCAGGGGGTTAGATTCGATCCTGATATGCCACAAACCATACGTTTGGAATTTGCAAAAAGTAACACAAAGGTTAGCAAACCCAAGCAACCAGCCGCTGCAGCAGCCACCTCGCACCCTGCTCTGATGCACCCTCTAACTGGACGTAAGTATGCACCGCCACTCGTTCACTCGCTGGATACGTTCTCACTACTATTCTCACCCACTGCACCCACTACAACTACAACGTATCTTCCTCCCTGTTGTTTCTCTCTCTATCTCTTTTTCTATTCCACTACCTATATGTCTATCTTATCTCTTGAAGTGTATTTTTAAATATACATATATATATGTATGTATGTATATATATATATACGTATATTTTTTTTCTTTTTTAATTTCTTCCTTTTTTTTTTTTTTTTTTTTTTTTAAC